CAGAAAGAGAACATGATTGATGTTTTTATTCCGAGGGAAATAAGTCCTTGCAGTGTAAATATTTTGATCTCCAAATTCTAGCCCAAATTTTATGATATTAAGAAACCACTAAGCTAATTTCTTGATAAGGGATTTGTTCTCAGTCCTGATAAGGTGAAGGCCAAGGCCTCCATACTCAAGCACACCATCAGTATTTATGTCTATTGGTAGAAGAATTCCATTGGAAATTCCTAGGGGGCGTTCTTTTTTTGGATTTTGAGAGGGGGGAAAGTTGGTTGACCAAGAATTTCATGTTCTTTTTTCATATTTATGTGGGATCAAGGAAGTTTATTTTCCTGGGTATCACTTACCCGGGTAAGTGATACTCATCTCCTAGGTGGGTAAATAACTTTCCCACCTAGGGAGAAAGTTGTCAACACTTGAATGTGACAAAAATGTCATTTTCAATAATGGATTTGTATGGCTAAAATGGTCATTGCCTTATTAAATAAGAAATAAAAGCACATGGGTAAGTAACTTACAAAAAAGCGAATGGTGGCCCTAATGATTTTATCAATTTCATTAACAGTTTTTTGTGGAACTGGATCAAATTCATACAATGAACAGGAGCTACCTGCCACACTGATTGAATGAGGATCGGCTTACCAACTTGACTAAGAGAAGATGCTTTCCATTGGGTTTAGCTTAGTTTATAGGTTGTTTATGATAAACTTTGAGGCAAGCTTATTTGTACCAAAAGAAAGGAATACCAATATATTTAGCATTTGGATCAAATTTCTATATCATCAACACCTTTTTCTAACTGACGGTACCAATGGGCTAACTTGGTAAGCTCTATGGCTGGTTGTACCGGAGATTTGGGATTAAATCCTACTATTACTAGGGTTGGGTTGAGAGTCAACCAAGGCCTAAGTTGAGCTTAATCTAATACAGTTGAGATCAAATTTGGGCTCGGGTTGGGTTGGGTTGGATTGGACCTGGTTGGTATGGTCAGGTTGGTGGTGAAGTTTAAAAGAATTTATTAATACATTTTTGTATGATGGTCGATTAAAAATATATACAAGCTTTATATACAAATGTGCATATTAGATATACATGTATTTGTTTTGAGTTGGGTTGGACCTGAGTACTTCGATGGATTTGGAGTACTCAATGCCTCAATCCAAGCCCAACCAAGCTTAGGTCAAACCTGATAATTTTAGGGCAAATTATTGATCCACTTAATAAAATTGTCACTATAATAGTGAGGTGGGGGAATATGACACAATACAAGGTGAAGCATGTGTTTTATAAGTGAGGGTTTTGCAAAATAAATAAAATAAATAAATAAAAATTTGTGTGATGGGTAAACTATAATTTTCACTTTATTTATTTTTTTGCCAAACCCAAACCCATGAAAAAAAAAAACTCAGATTGATCCAGGCTTTGTGCAAATTGCATTGTGGCTCCATGCAAAGAAAGCTTTGGGTGTCCATGTTCAACAACATGTGCTGCCTATTGGGCTTTTCTAACGTGGCACATTAGTCCTTATGCAAAATTCATATGGTGTTTGGTTTCATTGTCGTTTATTTGAAAAATGGTGTTAGTTCAATGCCATATAGGACGTATTTACTTAAAAATGAAGCTAATTGGTTAAATTGTTTATCAAATTAAACATTTGTCTCAATTTATGTGGGAGCATTGGGGGGGGGGGAGCTTCTTTTTAGTGTCCCTAACACCAAAGCATTTTTTACTATCAAGGCCGTGTTTGGTTGCAGTGCAATTTTATTTGACCTAATACAAATGCATGGAAGTGCAAACAAAAAAAATCAAATTCTCTTTTAATTTTGTTTTGGGTTTTACTTTATTCTGATTCATGTCTTAATTTAGTTCATTTGTAATGCAATCAAACAAAATAAGCTAAAATTTGAAACAAAAATAAGTCAGAATTTACACTGAAATCATTTGCACCACCACAGTTTTGCATTAGTACAAATTTATTTGCATCGTAACCAAACACAACTTAAGTTTATGTGGTGCCTAGCTTGGAAAAAATATATAAAAAACGCTTTTCAACCACTTTTTTTTGGTTTTCAAAATAAAATCCATATAAATGTTTAGTAAATAAACACCAAACAGAACTAAACAATCCCTCAATGCGGTGCTGAAGGCATGGTTTATGGATTAACGTGTTAAAATAGAGAGCCTCGTCGTAGGCTGTGAACATAAGACAGGCATGGTTTATGGCACGTTAGCCCCTGTGCAAGTGCAAGATTCAGTAACAGTGTAGCCTAGGGTGTCAATCGACCGGTTTTGGTTTTGGATCCAATCCGATCCAAATCATATCAAATCGAATTTGAACGGTCCATTATAATTATTGGATTGGGCCAATTCAAAATAAATTGGTCCATATTCTTATCGGTTTGAATTAGACTTAGGCCTCGTTTGATAACACTTTTTAGACGTCTGGTGTCTAAAAAACTTGCTTTTCAGACACTAGATTCATTTGGTGTTGCGTCTGAAAATCGATCTGGAATCTTTTTCTAGATCTGAAATTTTAAGTCAATAGCCTAACACTTATGTGTTCAGACGTAATTCAGAGGTGCGTAAAAGGCATAAATACCCTCAAAAAAATTTTAATATTACATATTTTTGTCTTTCATGTAAATCGAATTGAACCCTCAATGTGAACTAACGAAGCTCCACTGCCACCACCGCCGCTGCACTCTCTCTCTCTCTCTCTCTCCTGTATTCCCGCCACTATGGTTCTTCTCTCTCACTCTCTCTCTCTCTCTCCGCAGCGGCAGTTCTCTCTCTCTTTCTCTCTCTCTCTCCTTGTCTTCTCTTTCTCTCTCTCTCTCTCTCTATCTCCTCCCTCCCTCCCTTTCCCTGTCTTCCACCACAATTTTTTTATTAATTACTAATTATTTTATTATTTTTATTAAACATTAATTATTTATTATTAAATTTATTTGTGTTATTTATTATTTATTAATTATTTTTATTAACTATTAAATTTTAATTATTTTATTAATTTTTAAAAATTATTTTAATTTTTATTTGTGTAAATTATTAATTATTTTAATATTTTTATAGTCACTAATTATTTTTTTAATTTTAATCATTTCATTTATTAATTAATAATTAATGATTTATTATTTTTATTTATATTATTTCAATATTATTTTGAGGTTGAAAATCATTTTTTATGAGATAATGTAAATTGAATTCAACATTTCCAAACAGTATGTTCTAGGGGTAAAATAGTAAAATCAATAAATTTCAGATGGTAAAGGGTTCATCCAACACAAACAAACTTACGGATTCAAATCCTCTAAAAATTAGAAAAGCAACTATGCCTCTTTTCAGATTTCAGACACTTTTAATATCTTTTTAATTTTTCAGGTTTAACGAATGCCACCTTAAACCAAATTTCCAATAATCTGATCATGAGGCCAAACCCTTGTCCAATTTGAAATCAATCAAAATTGAAAACAACACAAAATCACTTTTATGAAAGTACTTTTATGAAAACATTTTTATAAAAGTACTTTTATTTTGTAAAAATACTTTTCCAAAGTACTTTTATGAAAGCACTTTTACAGAAGTAGTTTTATAAAAGCATTTTTACAAAATCACTTTTACAAAAGTACTTTTATTAAAGCACTTTTACAAAAGTACTTTTACACGAAAGCACTTTTATGAAATCACTTTTACAGAATTTCTTTCATGAAAGTACTTTTATAGTACTTTTATAGAAGTACTTTTACGGAAGCACTTTTAGAAAATCACTTTTATGAAAGCACTTTTACAAAAGTATTTTTATGAAAGTACTTTTATAAAAACACTTCTACGAAAGTACTTTTACAAAAATACTTTTATAAAAGTACTTTTACAAAAGCACTTCTACAAAAATACTTTTATAAGTCTGAAGTACTTTTTAAAAAGTGCTTTTACAAAAGTACTTTTATGAAAATACTTCTATGAAAGTACTTTTACGAAAGCACTTTTATAAAAGTACTTTTACGAAAGCACTTTTTTGAAAGTACTTTTACAAAAGCATTTCTACAAAAGTACTTTTGTAAAAGTCTATGGAAGTACTTTTTGAAAAGTGCTTTTAGTACTTTCAATGAAGTTTGTGAAAATATTTTTATCAAAATACTTTTACAAAAGTGCCTTTTCAATGCTAAAAGTGTTTTTATATAATAATTGATATTTCATTCGGTTTGGGTTGGATCCAATCCAATCCATTTACATTTTTAATGGATTGGGTTGGATTTGGATTGGATTGGGTCCAATCCATTTATAAGTGACTCACATTGGACTGGATCGGGTTAGACCAAAACCATCCAATTGACATCTCTAGTGCGGCGCTAAAGGTAGGGGTGCAAGAGCGGGTCCAACCCTCACATGGGTTGAGCTTAAATTTTTGTTCTTCGAATTGGACCTGAGACCCAAACTTTGGACTTTTAAAAATTTTAGGTTCGACTCAGGTCTACTTCTTTGAAAGCCTTATCTCGGCCCGATTATACACGCGTATATGTGCATATATGAATATATATATATATATATATATATATATATATATGAGTTAGACTATGATATAGAAAAGATATGATATCTAAAAAACTTATGACCAGTCAACTAAAATCATAAATGGGATAACCAATTAAGCGTTATTTATCAAAATTCATGAATGAATTTTAATTGATCAAAACTCTTTTCATACCATATCTTTTCCGCATCATGCATATTTTTTAAATCAACCCGAACTTGAATTGAATTGAGTTCGAGTCCAACCCGAATGCATCAAATTTTATTATGAACTAGGCTGACTAAATACTTTGGGCTCGACCCAATTAATAGGATTGGATAGGTTTATCTAAAATCCAGCCCAGCCCGCCCGACTTAAATCCCTGTTATTATGGATTAACGTGTTAAACAATAAACATTAAACAGAGAGCCTCGTCGACAGCATAAGCTGTCGAACGTAAGACAGCCAAAGTTCTTCGTCGGGAAAAAGTTTCACGTTTCACTATTTCAACTCAAGCTGCTGGCTCTTCGATCGCCCAAAGAGCTAACTCGAAGGTCCAACAAAAAAAATAATCAAAGAAACGCGATCAAGGTCAGGAAAACTGCGCATTTCGATGCCTTCAGGTTCAGGTCCGACTTCATTCACAGAAACATCCACTATATATGTATAATCAGAGTTTCAGACAATAGCATCAACAGAGCTTCAACCATCTTCGTTTTCTTTTCCATTCTTTAAATCCTAATTTATCGTTTCGCACTTACAGTTCGAAGATCAATTGCAACCATGGCGAATTCTTTGAGCTTGAAGCACGGCCTCTCTCTTTGGTGTCCTCAACCTGCTTCACTGAATCGAATTCCTCAACCGTCTTCAATCGCCTTCAGTAGCTCTCCTAGGACCTACGTCGTTGCATCATCGACTTTCGCTAACCAGAACCGAGAGTAGGCCTCCGAGTTTATATCACCATTGTCTGCTCGAATATGCACCCAATTGTGAGTTTTTGTTATGTGGACCCGGATTTTGCAGGTTTGTTATTGTCGGGGGTGGAAATTCAGCCGGTTACGCAGCTCGGACATTTGTCGAACATGGAATGGCCAATGGAAGGCTTTGCATTGTGTCTAAGGAGGTACGATGATCGGTCTTCTAGTCAGTGTAAAAATTTGATGTTTGATAGTGAAAGTTCGTATGCAACCTTGAAGTTATAATTTGAGATTTCGTTTTGGTGCTTTATACAGGCATTTGCGCCTTATGAGCGCCCCGCTTTGACTAAAGGTTATTTGTTCCCTCTGGATAAAAAGCCGGCACGACTACCTGTAAGATGAGCACGATCTCAATTTTGATTAGTAACTGAGGAGACACCGGTGTTAGTATTTCATGCTTAACAATAAACAGAGGGCTGGAATTTGAAACCAATATTTGCCTGGCGTTGGAACACGGATGTTAATATCATGAAGTTCTACCCTTGCACGTATTTGCTATAATAAAACATGGGGTTTAGGAGATCATATTATGCAATCTATCTAATATGGGCATTTCTCGTCTTTATAAGAATTTTAGGACAAAGCTTTGATTGGCTTTACAATGGTTTCTTTCTTCCCTTTTCTTTCTCAATAGAGGTCAATTATGAATATTGTCGACACATTTTTTTTAGTTCAAAGAAATAAAAAGTTATATAACTGTGAATCATAAGAAATTTACAAAAAGCAAGCCTCTGCTAGTAGTTTCGTTTGATTTTGATAACTTTGTCCAACCATGATATGCCAGGGATTTCACACCTGCGTTGGATCTGGTGGCGAAAGGCAAACTCCTGAATGGTATAAAGAGAAGGGCATAGAGGTAGACTTAGTTATTTTGTGATTCTTCTGTTTTATGTTTCTAATACGTTGCTTCCAGTTTTACATGATAATATTGCATATTTTGTCAAATACTGTCTATAACATAGCTTCTCGTTTTTGTGAAGATGTTGTATGAAGATCCAGTAACAGGTCTTGATATAGAAAAACAGACCCTTACTACATCCTCGGGCAAACTTCTCAAGTATGGATCCCTTATAATTGCCACTGGATGCACAGCCGTGAGGTACCATAACTACTATGACCAATTGTTATGGAAATGCCTACCTATCTTAAAGAGCAGTCTTATAATGTACAAATCCTCTCAACTTCAAGTGATGTCTACCTTTATGCTACTCTTAACCAAAACGATTTCTTTTAGAATACAGCACTACCATAGACAATAACCTAGATGCTATTTCAACCCACTTGCTTTATTTATTTAGATTTGCATTTATGAGAACTAGAATTGTTTAGAATACTCAATATTGAATAATCTGCATTATCTAATTGATAGCCCATCTATTGGTTGGTCAAAGGCCTAAATAAACATTTGGATTGTCTTGGCACACAATTTGTATATTTTCATTCCTGGAAATTGCCCCATCTTTAGTAGCTAGACAAGTTTAATCTCTGAATGACATTGCATTGGATGATTAAATTTTATTTGTAGGCTCTTGGTTCTGAAAGCGAACCATCAAAATGGTGTTTTAGCTAGGTATGCATTTATATGCCATTTGTGTATGGTAAAAGTTGTTTTGCATGTAAACCCAAGCCACCAGAGCATAGAGTGGAACTAGTGCAGGTGTAGGTTCTGGAGCATCAAGTTTGATATGCTTCATATGTTTTGCAGTAAAGCTTAAAGGTTCCCACTTTAGTTGTCATCCCCAATGTGTTAAGGCATATATTCTTCTAGATGTGCCTATTGGATGAGACTTATTCATGGGCTAAAGCATTGAATGAAAGTGAAGTTGCTAGAAAGAACACCAATTTGATTCATTGTAAACCTAAGATCACCATGGAGTATTTGACTATTTTTAATTTTTAATTAATCCATACCTGTAGAGGCTCCAAGATCAGCTTTCAAATCTGAATTCTTTGATTGGAAAATCAATAAACAATGCCAATACAACTGGCCAAATCAATTTCACCAATGGAAGTCATGCCTGCAGCCTTTTAGCACTTAGTTCTAGATTAACTGGGCACCAGATTAGGGCAAATCAAACTCTCCTTTAGGGCTGGTTGAATTCTACTATCTAAATTCTCAAAATATCTTATATTATGAGAAGCAAGGTTCCAGGGGGATGTAAGATTCTATTAGGGTCAAGGATTAAAGTATCGGTATTGGGTATTGTATCAAACTACTTGGATAATGATGCACTTTGGAAATGCATGGATACAAACGAAAAATATGGAAACACTTGGATACGTTGAGAAATGCATATAACTTCCATAAATATATCAATAACATTATATTTAATGTCAAAATAACCATAATTATTAATGTATAAATGCATAAAAAAAGTATACAGAGTTTGCTTTGTTCTTTCCTTTTGATCCTTTGAAATTTATTGGAAATTAGATGATTGACAAATAAAGTTAAGTGGCATCCTCATTTTTTTTTTCAGATTTCCAGATAAAATTGGAGGAAACTTGCCTGGTGTTCACTATATCCGTGATGTTGCTGATACTGATTCTCTAATATCATCATTGGTAAATTCCATTCTGATTATTACTTTTACTTTGATTAGCTACAATTGCCGTATCCTGCTGCAACGGATCTTTTGACCTATATTGAATGAATCTATAATATAGAAATGGTATAAGACATTTGATGGAACTTTGGGAGTGCTTTCTTGTATCTGCAAAGCTGTTGAGAATTCAATTTGATTCCAAATGTTATCGTCTCCTAACACCTTCAACTAATATATGGATCTGCACCCATTTGCAAATTATGAAAAAGAATATCATTATATACATTGAACCAGAATTTAACCTGAATCTCTGCAATTAGTATTGTGGTCCTGAAACTCGTATGGGATCTATGAGTTTTCTATTTCCATGTCTGTGTCCATATCCATATCCATATCTGGGCATCATAAGTATTTAGCTCTTTTATCATTCTCAGCAACCTGTAGTGGTAACTATAGAATCTTCATAAGGCAAAAGAAGGCTTTAAGAAGTATAAAATGGAAACCCAACCTTTAATATTGATAAATAAACTGTTAAATAAGTGCTCCTTTCCTAGTATATGGTTGAAAGTCTAGAGGCCATAATTTATGGGATGTTTCTATTTAGTGAGGATGGCTTCTTACTTTCCATTACTTGCTTTGAGTACTGTCTGATTTATTTCTTGTTATAAAAAAAATGTTTATTTTCTTTTAGGAGAAAGCACAGAAAGTGGTCATTGTTGGTGGTGGCTATATTGGAATGGAGGTTGCTGCTGCTGCTTCTGGTTGGAAGCTTGATACAACGGTATGATTACAATTGAATTTGTACCATGGGAATAGGATTTTGATTGACAGAGTAATAATTACATTCTGAAATTGGTAATGCAATTTATTGCACATGCACCAAGCTGCTATGGATTTCCATCATTGCATATTAAATCAAGCATCATTACATTGGCATCATTCTGACA